CAGCATTCAGGCGGCTGAGGCAGGAGGATTGCTGTGAGTTAAGAGACTAGCCTGGACTACAGAGTGAGCTTAAGGCCAGCCTGAACTGCATGGTGAGACCCTGTTTCAAAAGGACAAAATAAATAAAGTTGACTTTCTAAAAAGAAATCACTAGAGTGTTTCCAAACACTCAGCCATCAAGTGTTTTAACAGTTGCAGCTCATTAGCACTAATAACCTGGAATCTGCCAGCTACTCAAACATTTACATCCACCAGAGTTGTGTCTAGGTCAGGTTTTACCTCAAATGTTTTCATTTATTATTATAAATGTATTTGACACAGGGTCTTACTACACAGATCAGACTTATAGTAATCCTCCTGTTTTTAGACTCCCCTGCTCTGGGATTACAGGCGCAGGCCACCATGCCCAGTCTGGTCACCCGCTTAGCACTCTCAGGGGCGGGGCCAGGCCAGTACGGCATGTGGTACCAGGGATTGAACCCCAGTCCCTGCGCTTGCCTAAGCAGGCACTTAGTCTGCTGAGCTATCTCTCTGGCCCTTCTCAAATGTTTTTAAACTTGCTTGGTAAGGAAGAATACTTTCAACAATGTGAATACTAAAAAATACAAATTGACTTTTTTTAAAAAATAAGTTTCTGATAAGAAAGGTTTCTAAAAGTTAAGACTAGCAGATGAGTATTCACAAATGATTTTTTTCTACCAACTTGAAAGCTGAATATGGGGGCCGGGGAGATAGCTCAGTAGAATAAACACTTGCCGGGCAAGCACAAGGGCATGAGTTCAATCCCCAAAGCTGAGTATGATGCAGAAAAGTCTGTGTGCCACCTTGCACTGGCTGATGGTGTAGCAAAAGTGCCTATTCTGTCGTGAAGGATGCAATCAGGGAGCCTGAGGAACTGGGGGTCCCTGCATCCCAACACAGACACTTAGCACACAGGAAAGATCGTGCTCCATGAAGCTACTGCTGCCAAATTCTAATTTTGGATTAACACCAGGACCGGCACAGAGCTCCGGAGCACAGCACCTGCCTGACGAGCACAGGCCCTGACTTCGATTCTCAGTACCAAAAAAAAAAAGGGGGGGATTATATAGATTAATACCTCTGAACTCTGAAAATAATGTTAGGTACAGGAAAGTCCCAGACCTTAGAAAAATGACCTTGGGCTGTTCTTTACTGCTCCATAACTGCTCTCAGGTCTAGCAAGCAAAGCAGAGGAATGTTAAGTTTGAAGCTCCAGCCAGCAAATCCAGGACATCCTGTTCCTACTGGCCTTTGAACGCTCACGGCACTTCCTTTAGAACTGTAAAAATGACCCCCAATGCCTTTTCTTCTGCCGTGTTTTCCTCTTCTGCATTTGCTGACTTGTTCCCCCGGCGGCACTGAGGAGCGACGCTCTCACCTCTCCATCCCAGCTGCCTCTTCCCAGCGGCTTCTGTACACTCTCCGCCCTACCTTCGCACCGCAGCAGATGAAGCTGACCGCATCATCACACACTTCGCAGGCGCCACCTGGAATCGCAGTCCCGCCACGATCACGCTTATTGAACAGCTACCGCGTGCCGTATACCCGAAGCGTGCGACATGTTTTAAGCTATTTTGATTCCCACAGCAACCTATGAGGTGGACACGACTATGATCCTCAATTCAAATATGAGAAAATGAGATACAGGGAGTGTCAGTAACTTCCAGTGACAAAGCTGGTTAAATACTGTGGTTCAAATGCAGACACTCGGCTGCTGGGCCTCTCCTCTGCCCGGTTTCAGAACACACATGAGAAAATCACTACCATACAGACAACCTGCTCCGGCACATTTTTCAGTCTAGTATCTGTGATATCTTATTAACAGTATAGTACTCTGACTGCACCTCATAACTGAAGGGGACTCACTAGATCTTCACAGAACTCTACCAACACGCTTTTACTTTTGTTATCAATGAATCGGAACTCAAATCCCAGTGCTTCTTTTTTTTTTTTTTTTTTTTTTTTTTTTTTGCAGAACCAGGGATTGAACTCAGGCCCTTGAGCTTGCCAGGCAAGCGCTTTCCCAGTGCTTCTTGAGGAAAAACAAACAAAAAACCCCAAAGCCACATGGCTGGCCTAAGGTTGCAAGGCTGAGCCAAGTCGAAGACAGAACCTCACTCTTGTGATGTGGTAACTACTGCTCTAATGAGGAAGGAGCACTGGCTTGAGAAACTAATTAGAATTAATTAGAAGTTTCAAGTCCCTCAGATGTAAAACTATGCATTATGTAAAAGTACTCTCAAGGTGAATTTTCAGAACTTCACTTGAACTCACTTAGTCTTGTGCCTCCCTTTCACAGAAGATATCAATAGCAAAAAAAAAAAAAAAAAAGTTTTATGAATTGCAGATTATGTGGCTTTTTGAATGCCATTCAAAAAATTAATAATAAAACAGAAAGCAAACCAAATACAACTTTGCAACAAAGATGACCATTTTACTTCTACATGCTATCTTCTGAAAAGAAATATAATAGGTAGGATTATTTTTAAATCAAGTTTAAGTCACCTTAAAAAATGCAAGTATGATTGCTACTCAAAATATTTCACCACTTCTCTGCTATGAACTATTTAATGACAAAGTCAAGTAATGCCATCTACAGGAAACTTTTTGAATGACAGTTAAATTTCAATGACATTTTTCTTTGAATATCTGAAATGAGTCAGTAGCAGATTTAGTTATCAATAAGGAAAACTTCAAGGATAAAAAAATTGAAAACCTAGCCTGCTACCACTCTAGACTGCTAACACTTATTAGAAACTAGCCTAGGGGCCAGGGAGATGGCTCAGTAGGTAAGCATTTGACTGGCAAACGCAAGGATCTGAGTTCAATCCCCAGTTCCGCAAAAAAAAAAAAAAAAGAAAGAAAGAAACTAGCCTAGCTTGACCTCCAAATTCATGAGACACACGATCTACAGAACCCTGAATAAGAGCTACAGATTAAGACATACAGCTGCGGGACCTCAAAGATGTGTAGGGCCAGTGTGCACAAGCCTCAAGTCACAAAGGCAAAACCTGCAGCAGCTTGCTTTCTCCAGCATCAACTCTCCTCTTGCTCTTGAGCAGGACCATCTTCATTTTCCAAGTACAGTATTTTAACAGCCTGTTTCAGTTTCTGAAGCTTGGTCCTGTTCATCCTGCCTACTTCAGAGCAGTCCGTATCAGATTCAAATTTCTCCACTCTAATCACAAGATTTTAAAATATCTCTCTGTCCTCTTCCCCTTGGGCAGTAGACACTACTGTTTTCTTATTGCGTGCTTTTCACCTTAAATGTCAACACCTACTGGACCACCTGAACAGGGTCACATCCGCACTGAGTGGGAGGGGGACTGAGAGTGGCTTTTTCTCGCTGTCACTGCCAGGTGGCCTCATGAGCCTGACCTGAGAAGCACCACTTCCTGGGGTTGCCATCCTTTCCCTAACCGCTGCAGGCACTCTGCTCTGCAGCGCCCACATGCTCACTCTCGGGCCGCTTCTCCAGGCACGGCAGCTCCACACGCGTGGCCAGCTGTGTGCTGCGGCGTCCTGCTGGCAGGGTCACACCTCATGCACCTGCCTTTTCGTCCCATGTTGCTGCTTAAGTGTTTCAGCCCCCAACTCATCAGTTCTCTGCCTCCCAGTGCCCACTTCACTTCTCTGATTCTATCTCCACACCCAGAGTTCATATCCTGGATTCCTCCTTCTGCGGATTCTGAGTGTAGAACACTGTTCCCTTGCTCAACAAACTAAACCCCATTCCGAACAGTGCTCTTCGAGTGGGAGCTCTCCCAGCTTCCCCGGCTGTATGCAGATCAGTGGGTAGTGAGCGTGACATTCCTTGCTGGCTGCTCCCACAGCAGGCCTGCACTGTCCTCTGGTCCCATGACGACCACATCTTTCTATAATAGCAGCAGTCTCTCTCTGCTTTGTTACCAAGGTATGCAAGTGGAGGCAACAGGCTAGGAGTGGGGCTAGCAGGACAGGGAAGGGCCGCGGAGGCAGGGCTGCGGGCAGCCAAGCCCAGGGAGAGCGGTGCAGCCTGACTCCTTGGGAAGAGCCAGACTGCAAATCACAGCGTCTGGGGTAAAGCAGCTGGGCTTTCCTACGGTGAATTGAGGGGCCCAAGCGTGAGGGCACACATGTTCAAAGGGGGGGAGGGCATAACGGGGATGTGAGGAACTGGGCCAACTTACTACTTATTTTTTAAAACAAGTTTCATAATGTTATGGAAGCAGCGAGAAAGTGGGCATTTGTCCTTAGATCTCATTAATAATGGTGACGGCTAGTAATTACCAAAGCTTCACACTGTGTGAGGAGTACTGCTTACCAACATGGTAAGGCAATATGAACATACTATCTGAAAAGGAACAGCAGAGCAAACGGTAAAGATTTAAGTGAGCCTGACAGGAAAAAACTATGCTTTGATTCTCAGTTGCTGAACAGCTGCTTTTGTTCTTTTTCTGAAAAGCACTTACCTGCTTCAGAATATTTATTTTCTTCAAAGCTATTTTTATAAGATCCACCAAGCCCAAGGTCTTAAGAACAATGTTTATTTTAACACGTAAACATGCCACCAAGCACCACTGCCCGTAAGTTCCCAGATTGCATCTGGCTCCTGCTCTTTGGAAGGGATATGGCGAGAAGACCTTGAAGCTCAGTCTACGCAGATGATTATGGCAACAGAGCACACCTCCAGAGGAAAAACCACTGGGCAGTCGTGCACGGCACTACACTCAAGGCTGTCCAGCAATCTTTCACTGTCTCAGATAAACAGGCTCACCTAACACTGGCATCTTTACGCTACTTCTCTGACTATGCACACGAGGAAAACTGCACAAGCTGTGGAAGTGCGTGCACCTCGAACTGGACTTTCTATTCTCACTCCATTTCCAGTGAAGATCAGGCAGAAATTCAGTACCCCTTACTCCCCTAATCTCTTGATTTGTCACAGATCTATGGTGACGAATGAGAATAAGACTTGAGCTAACAGAAGAACACAAGACAACAGTCTTAGGGTTTTTTTAAAGAACATTTACGTGGTAAAGATATATGAAGCAGAAGATAAAACTACTCATAATTATGCAAAGTGAATCTTCTAAATTTATCCTATCTTGAAGACAAACTAAAATGTACTTGTTTGAATTTAAAACATTATTATATAGTAACAGGTATGTGTCTTCAGAAATGGATTCGATTTATCTTTTCGCCTGGAAAGTGTTGAGTTAATCACGCTGCTTCACTATTTTTGGCAGACTTCGGCTGACCTCAATACCAATGCTGAGGGATGGATTCTCAAAGTTTCTCTTAAGCAGAACTTGATGGTGAGCTAAGTAAACCTAAGCTGGGTTTCAGCCTCACTGGCAGGCAGGCAGTACGTTTCACATGGCAGGCAGCCCGTGGTGCTTGTCATCCACATCTCGGATCTCTAAGGACATGCTGGAAAAGTCTGTGAACAATCTTCCCATGCCGCATTCCCATGCTGCATTCCCGTGGTTAGCTTACCCACACTGGCAAAGGCCTGGGTAACGCTGCTCAAGTTTTCATGATGGCAATTTCTATAAGAAAACAATGGATACAAAAGGTTGATTTCTCCTCACCAACTCAGCACTTACTGGGTACTTTGGTACTGGACAATATGCCCAGCAGTGGCTAAACACAATTCAAGTGAACCACCATGTCTAATGTTTACAAACGGTGCTCAGCAGACACCCAAGTACAACCAACCAAGGAAAAGAGAAATATTAGACATGATTAACACTGCAAACCTGTGTGCTACAGAAGATATACTATCAAAAATTAAAAAGACAACCCACAAAATGAATGTACCTGCAAGTCACACAACTGGTGTCTAGTATCTAAGGTGTGTAAAGAACTCCTAAACTCAACAGTAGAAAGACAAGTAATTCCACTTACAAATGGGCAAAGTAGTTCTCTAGATACCAGATACTCAACATCAGTAGTTATTAGGAGAATGAGAATAAAAACTACAACGAGATCCCATTTCACACCCACTAAGATGGCTAGACTTAAAATGACAGACAACAGCAACTCTCGCTAAGGCAGCGGAGACCTGGGTACCCTTGCACGCCACCTGTGGGAAGTGCAAATGGTCTAGTGCAGGGAGGCAGGCGTACAGCACGCATGCCACAGCCAGCGGCTACCACTGAAAGCTTTAAAAAGTTTGCTGTCACTGGTGAACAGCAGCTTTGGAATATTCCTCAACAGGTTAAACACAGAGCTCCTACATGACTGCTATGATGTATTCTAGATGTGCCCCGAAGCCTCATGCGCTCACAGAGGGGGCTTTTACAGGGGTGCTCAATCTACAATGCGTGATGCAGCGATTGATAGTGTGTGATTCCTAGTGATGAGCTTGGCCTCTCCCCAAGCCAGGAACCTGAGATAAGAATATAAAGGGGGCAGAAAGAAGCTGCTACTGTCGCTCGGGGCTTCTCGCTTGCTTTTGCTGTCTTCTGCTTGCCATAACCAGTTTCTCCTCTGCCACCCCACCCCACCTTGGAGCCAGACACCTATGAGCTGAAACCTCTACGACTGTGAGCCAAATAAGCCTCTTCACCTTTAGCTTTGGGTGTCAGGGATTTTTGTCTCAGCAACAAGTAACCAAGATAAAAACCTAGCAATACCACTTTAGCTATATGCCTAAGAGTACTGAAAACATACACTTACAGAAAGACCTTCCATGTGAATGTGCACAGCAGCATTACTCATTATGGCCAAAAGGGGAACAGTGAGTGGGTGTACCTACACCGGGCTGGGGAGATAGCTCGGCAGTCTACGTGGTACTGCATGCCTTGCTGGCCCCAGAACCCTGGGTGTGCCTTGCCAGTCACTGAAACTGGGCCTGGTGATGCACGCCTATGATCCCAGTGCTGAGGAGGCTGAGACAAGAGGATCACTACGAGTCTGAGCTGCAGAGCGAAACCTAAGTAAATAAATGATTTTTAAAAAGAGATGTACCTGTATCTCCACACAAAGGAGTATTATTCAGACATTAAAAGGAGCAAAAGGCTGCAGCATGCTACAGTATGGAAACTCCATGAAAGAAATGTGATTCCACTGATATGACTGTGCAGAAAAGACAAAGCCACAGGTTCAGACAAGACAGGCTTCGGCGGCTGGGCACTAGGGCACTACAGCGGATGCTGTGAAGCAGGTATGGGGCTTCTTTTTCAATGAAACATTTAAAATCAGAAAGTTGCAATGGTTTATGCACCTCTTTATTTCAAAAACATGTTACTTTTCAAATTGCACAACAGCTTCAGACAAAACTAGATCTCTTAAAGAGATAAAAGTTTTTCTTTATACCTCAGCAGCATGCCAAAAAAATGTGTTTGAGCTACTAATCTTATTACTTTCTTTTCCTAGATTTAGTCCTAACACCTACTCTTGATGCTTAAATAAGCTGCATGTGCTTTTGACTACTACTCACATAATTAAGAAGCTTCGTGTTGAACAAAATGAAAGCAAATAGAAATAAATGAGGATTACTAAATGTTAGTGTTGTTAATTCATAAAATTTTTATGTCTCTCCCTTACACCAGTCATGTTTATAAAAGATGCTGGGCACACAAAATGGACGGGTATTCTTTCCTTCCACAGGGCCTGAGCAGGGGTCACAGATGGCAACTTGTGTCAGGCAGCACCACAAAGGAGGAACACGCATAAATTCTACTTAATTCAGTGCACTTTTCTTATGGGAAGATCTGCCTAGATATAACTTGTTAAAAAACTTTTTTCTTTGAATGACTGGGCAAAGTTTAAAAAGGTTAAAATTGGCATTTTAAAATCTCATGGAGATAAAAGAAACTTAGAGCTCAGTCACCTGTCTGAGGTTTTGCAGCTAAGTGTCCCCCAAAAGTCCACGTATTAAAAACATAATTTCTAGTGCAAGGCATTGAAGGAAAGTGGCAGAAACCTACAGCAAGGCCTAGTTAATGGGAGGCCTCTGGCCACCATGGGTTCCCTTCGAGGGACCGGCAGCACCCTGCCCCTTCCTCTTTTGGTTCTCAGCTAACCTCCACCAGATGATCACACTAGGAAATACCCTACCGTAGGCACCGAGACAGAGCCAGACAACCATGGATGAAAACCATATGCCAGTTACTGTGCGACAACAACCGCAAACACACCTAAGCACAACGCTCTATCATTCACAGGTGAAAACGTCAGCGTGCCACAGACTTGCCAGGCTGGGGGCTTAGCTGAGTGGCAGAGCACTTGCCTGGCATGTGTGTGGCCCTGTGCAGATGCCAGCACCACACAAACAGGAGCCCACATACTTCCGAATAAGCGCCCAAAGCAAGTAAGATTAAGTAACCTTACTGTTATGCATCTGTGCCTGAACCCAGTGAATGATCTTTTGTTTCGGTACTGGGGATTGAACTCAGGACTGTGTACTTGCCAGGCAGGTGCTTAAGCCACTGAGCTATCTCCCTGGCCCCCAGGAGAATTATCATAGCTATTTTAACACATTAAAACCAAGGCCCTGACTACACATTAAGCCCCAAGACAGTGACTGGATGATGAAATCTCAAGAGGATCAAGAACTGGAGGTGTACTTACTGATTTCTTCTTTCTGATGTATATAATATGAATATCTTCACTTCGATATTCTTCATCATGTTTTTCCAAAGGAATTTTTTCAAACTCAAAGTCTAGCTGAAGAAGCTATAAATTTAAAGGAAATATACTTCAAACTTAATAATATGACCTGTGGTGATATAAATCACAATGGCAATTACCTCTAAAGGAGTACTAACTGAAGGACAATGTGGAGGAATTCTGAGATCTTGAAAATGTTCCACATCCTTATGTTGAGTAATAATCACATATACATATGTGAAAAATTGAGTTAAGCACTTGATGTAATTTTTTTTAATTTATTTATTTGTGTGTGTGTGGCCAGCTCAGCCCACCAGGGGGCGGGGGTGGCATGTGGTGCTGGGGGATTGAACAGCGGTCCCTGTGCTTTGCTAAACTTGTTCTAAGTAGGTGCTTTAGACCACTGAGCCATCTCACCAGCCCCTTGATGTATGTAATTTTTAACCTATGTTTTACCTCAGTAAACACTGCTTCAGAGTATTAAAATTTCAAACTGGGTGTGGTGGCACCCAGCACTCTGGAAGGCAGAGGCAAAAGAATCTACAGTCCAAGCCCTGCCTGTGTAACTCTGCAACTTAGTGAGACCCTATTTCAACATTTAAAAAAAAGACTTGGATATAGCTCAGGGCAAAGACCTTTGGTTCAATGCCTTAGTACTGTCCCTGCCAATCTTAATCACATTTCATTTTAAAGTTCAGTGACATTTTTCATATTTAAGAAACAAATGATGTAATGATGCAGGGATGGTTTGCTATGTTATCCAGCTTGTGTTTCAGATGTTTCTCCAAAGTCTCACGTGGTTTAGGTGGGCCTTTTCCAGACGGGTGGGATCCAGAGCATGTGACGCTGGACTTGGCAGTGCTAGGATTGACGGTACTAGCCTGAGGATGTGAGCGCTACATTCCCTCAGCGTGGGCAGCCTGGGCAAGCTACAAGCGACAGAAAGAGCTGTGGCCACCCCTTCTGCCTGCCATGAGCTGCTTCTCCTCTGAGATGCCTGCCTGCCACCCTGCCTTAGAGCCAGGTGCTTATGGACTGAAACCTCCATGAACCGTGAGCTAAATAAATCTGTTCACCTTTAAGTTTGGGTGTCAGGTGTTTTTGTCTTAGTAAGAGAAAAGTAACACAATGTGCAAATCAAACACAATATAACATATGAATAGAATCAACAGTAAAATCACACTAGCATCTCAGTGGATTCAGAAAAGGTCTAGAACAAAATTTAACATCTCTTTATGATAAAAGCTGTGAATAGGTACAGAAGAATCATCTCAATATAAAAACAGCCGTAGTTGACAAATTCACAGCCAACACCACACTGAATGGAGACAAACTGAAAGCATTTCTTTTAAAATCAGAAATAAGACATGGGTGTCTACTCTGACCACTCTTAATACAGTATCTGAAATTTCATCCAGAGCAACCAGGCAAGATAAAGTATTATAACATGAAATTATATGAAGTATTATAACATGAAATTAAAAAGCATCATAAAGGAAACAGTGAAGAGACAACCTATAGAATGGGAGAAAGTCTGCCAGCAGATTAATCATCAGAATATATAAGGAAATAAAAAAAGAAAGAGTCCAACATAAAACGGCCACATGCTATGAACACTCTTCCCAAAAGAAGTAAAAATGGCCAATAAATGTGAGAAAAATGCTCAATCTCTGGCCACCCTACAGAGATTCTATCTCAACCTGGTCAGAATGGCTATGGTACCTAAAGAATACCACACCAGAAAGGATGCAGAGAACGAGCCTCTACGTTATCTGAGGGAAGGGAAATTATACAATCGCTACAGAAAACAGTGAGAAGGTGCAGGTTTAAAGTTAAGCCTAAAAAGGTTGTCCTTGTTCACAATGCAGTGTCATGGCTGTGCTCTAACGATCAACTACTGGGTGCCCAGCAGATTATCTTGCCATGACCAGAAACTCCTCGCAAGCTTGACCAGCTCTCTAGGAAATCACTTTCCTATTCAAGCAGACTCAGATGTTTATTCCCTCAGGTCCTTGGTCAGTGCTTAGGAGCCACAAACTCCCTGCTGCTGGCCACTGACTAAGTTGGGACATTGCCACTCTTGTCTCAACTACTAAGGAGCCTCAGTGTTGGGGGAGGTCGTCCACAGAGAAGCAGCCACCGAGAGAGCACACTGCCCCAACTCTTCCCAGTTAGGCGCCTGAAAGCCAGGTAACGGACCGCAAGTGTTAGGGGGTTGGAATTTCAGACACTGAAGCTCTTCTGAGCTGGTGGTATAACTTTCTGTACTTTCTCTTTCTTCTATGTAACTGTGTCCATGAACAGTTTATTAAACTTAAATTTTTTATTGTTTTTACAGTGGTGTTAGAAGCTTGCTTGTGAAACTAGATCTCTAAACTAAGGAGGTGAGACTACTGTAGGCTTGTTCTGACTATAGAAGGTACTTAAAAAAACTAAAAATAGAATGTGATCTAGCTCTGCCACTCCTAGGTATATACTCAAATAAAGTGAAGTCAGCGACCAAAAGCAATACCTGCATATGCATTTTTATTGTGAAGCTGTTCATAACAGCCAAGATATGAAATCAGTCAACAGGTGGACAAAGAAAATATGGCACACACACACACACACACACACACACACACACACAATGCAGTATTATTCAGCTACAAAGAATGCAGGAAAATGGATGGAAATGAAGTACATCTGGTTAAGTAATGTAGGCCAGACAGAAAGGCAAGCCCCCTTGAAGGCAGATGACCTGAAAGTAGAACAGGGACTTTTAAAGAAGGGGACCAGAAAGAGGGAAAGCACAGGGAAGGGAACAGAAGGTAAAACAGAGGGTGGATATGATCACAAGGAATAAAATACACACATATGAAAATTTTAACAGCAAAACCCAGTTTGTACAGATAACATGTATTAATTATAACAGAAAGCAGGGTATATAAGAAAAACAAGCAATGTAGACTGATATCTGACCAAGTCATATATTGGCTTTATTAAGCTAAATTAGTCCTTTCAACAGACAAAAACGGCAGCACCATACAAATGTATCTTCAAAAAATTATTTGCAATAGGATAAATTCTTGTTTTGTGTGTGGTACCAGGGATTGAACTCAGGAGCTTATGCTGCTGAACCAACGCCCCAGTCCCTAGGATAAATTTTTGCCCACATAAATTCTAGATCAAACTGGTGGAAAAGGGCTGGAGAGATGGCTCAGTGGTCTAAAGCACCTACTTGAAACAAGCTTGGCAAAGCACAGGGACCACGGTTCGATCCCCAGCACCACATGCCAGCCAGCCCCGCCCCCTGGTGGGCTGAGCTGGCCACACACACACAATAAATAAATGTAATAAATAAAAATAAATATTAAAAAAAAAAAACAACTGGTGGAAAAGGGTAAAAGCCATGTAAGTGCTGTTTGCAACTTTTGCAACTTCCTGTTAATTTTTAGTTTTCAAAAAGACCCTGAAAATAGACAGATACACAGCTAAGAAGTTTCACAAAAACACAGAAATAAAAACTTATCACCTCCATATTTCTACCATGTAGTCTTTAAAAGCAGTGTATCTATTACTGATATGCTCCCAAAAGCCCATTTCATATTAATAAGGATTAAAAGCTTCCTCAGAAAAGACTGTCACCATTATTATTTTACGTCATTTTGTGGATACGGTTTCAATTAGAAAATTAGAATTAGAAAAGAGAAATGAAGGGCCATAAAAGATAAATACAAAGGGGGCCTTTGCAGAACTGTGAGTTGTACTGGAACCTTTCTCTCCGTGGGGCTACACAAACTGTTTTCCCCTTCTAAATCTGTCATAAAATATGACAACAGTCACACAGAGTCTCTCTGAACAATAACCACTACGAAGATCTAACGGAGTACTTACCTCAAAATATTTTTTCTCAATTTCTGGATTTTTTCCCATTGTACGCTGTTCATAGCAACATATAATACAAGTTTCAGATCCACTGAGATCTTTTAGAGTTTTCAGCAGTGGCTCCAAAGACTAAATTTAGAGAGAAATATATTTTTTATGACTCCAAAAACATTCCATTAGAATCTCTTATTTATTTGGTACAGGGTCTTGCTAGGCAGCTGGCATGGCATGCAGTACTGGGGATCAAATCTGGGTCCTTGAGTTTGCCAGGCAGGAACTTAGACCACTGAGCTATCTTCCCAGCAAATGTTCCATTATAAAAGAGATTGGGTGTGTGTAAGTGCAGGATTAATTCCCCTATAATTTATTTATTTAGTTAATTTATTTTTTGGGTGGGGGCTCAGCCTGCCTTAGGGGTGGGGCTGGCACAGCATGTGGTGCCAGGGATTGAATCACGGTCCCTGCACTCTGCCTAAGCTTGCCTAGGCAGGTGCTTTAGACCACTGAACTATCCCGCCTGTCCAGCTCCCCTATAATTCGTTTATCTCTGAGTGAATTCAATGAAGCACAAGTTCTAAAACTTCTGTAACTACCAATTGCTAAACTCTTCTCAACTAATCAACAATCATGTTGATTTCACTTTCCAGAAAAAAAATTCAAATGACTGAATGTTATTTTCCGTGAGAAAATAACACTGACTTCAATCAACAATTTACTCTACAAAAGCAATCTGAACCTAGTTTGAACATGAGTTGATTTAACGCCCAGTATTTTAAAAATGATGCCCACAATAGTATATAACTGGTAAAGAAAAATCATCCCATGAATTTAATAAATGTGGCCACTAACAATGAATTTTTCTTACAGTGTAACTTTCTGAACATCATGGTTAACACATTCCCTGGCAATAGTTAAGGAAAAAATAAGGTTACATTAGTGTCTCACAATAGATTCAAATGATAAGAAGGCTTTAATTTTACTGCAGTCTTTAGGACAAGCGCCTATAGCGCTTTCTCAACATGCTTTACAAAAAGCCTACGCTGGCAGCGACATAGCTCAGTAGACTGAGAGCCTGCTTAGGCAAGTGGAGCGACGAGGGTTCGATCCCTGACACCAGGCCATGCAGGCCCCACCCCCATGCACCTGAGACCGGGCATGGTGGCATATACCTGTAATCCCAGTGCTGGGGGCTGAAAACAGGAGGATCACTACTAGTGTGAGCTGGGTAGTGAGAACCTGTACCATATACATTAAATAAATAAATAAGTAGAAACAAAAAGCCTACGCTAATCGTGAATATACTGATGCAGTCCCTAGACTTGTTTTCTAGTACCTCACCAAATGTACCATAAATACCGAGAATTCAGAGTCGTTAAATGTGAAGAATCTATGCTGCAGGATGCCCGAAATACGGTTAACACTTACCTCTTCGTAATATATGCAGTCAGCCATCAGTATGTAGTCCGGTGCGCAGGGAAAGTCTTCTACCTCTGACCCCCTTAAAAATGTCAAACAAGTACTTTTAACTGTTGTTTTTCAAATACTCTTGCTTTGCAAAAGAACCATAAAGCCCCTTCGTATCAACCATGCTTTTAGTACCATGCAATTTAAGGCACACTAGAAATAGTTATCTTAAAACAAGCTGAAAAGCCATACAAACCATTTCAGTACCTTGGCTTGAACAGAACCAGTGACAAGATGCTTGTTCATATTAATATTCATCTTCAGCAAGTCTTGCAGTTCCTCAAGATCGGTGACCACAACATCTGCCCTAAAAATAACGCAGACTGAGCCGCGCCTCAGGCGGGAAGCCGGCAGGGCGCCGACCCTCCCACCCGCGCTTACCCGAGCGTGGCGGCCATGAGCCCCACGGCCCCGGTGCCCGACCCCAGCTCCAGCACCGACCGGCGGCTCAGCGAGTGGGTCCCGTCGCCCGAGAACCCCGGCGTCTCTAGATATTTGGAAAGGACAATAGCAGCGTCCCAGACAACACAACCCACGCCGCCGGAGCCGTACTGCTGCAGTCGCAGCACTGTGCCATCGCGTTTCTCCAGAACCCTCACAAAGCTCCGCAGCGGATCCTCCAGCTCCTCCGGCACGCACTCCCGGGGAGACGCCATCGCCGCGCTGCAACGAGGTGCGGCGCGGTGACGTCACGCCCGCGCGCCCGCCTCCCGGCGCTGCCTGGCGGCACGGCGCGTGCGCAGGTCAATGGGCCGGGAAGACGGCGGGACCGGCGCGTCGGAACGGCGCTCTGACCGCTTTCCCGCTCCAGCTCACGCGTGCTTGAGGAGAGGGCTTTTAAATCACGTTTCCGGCCAATATTGTGCTAGTATTATAGGAATACGCAAACTTCAGAGTGTTTTGGGCGGCTTGTAGGCTGACAGTTGTTACTAGTCTTAAATCCTGGCAATCTCCCAGATCCTACCAGAGAAATTTTGTACAGTGCACCTTGTTCTACGAATGCATACAAATGGTGGTTGGAAACTTGCCACGGAATTTGACAGTGATGACACCCCCCAAAACGTTACATCATTAAAATTCCTTAGGATTATCCAATTTTGGTTGCATAAAATAGTGAAAGTGTGTCGTCACACTTACCTACCTAGAGGATTTAACAATCTCCCCTTGTTGCATATAATGAAAACACAGATTTTAAAAGTTTTGTAAAAATTAAGACTGAGGTGATTTATTAATCTTGTTAAGAACTCTGATACAAAGCACAGTAAAAAGGCCACAGACCAGTAAATAAACAACGTGGCTTTTGGCTACTTTACAACTGCTGCTACAGCACTATCGGCAACACACTCTTCTCATCACTTTGAAGGAAGGCGTCCAGATGGCAAATAGAAGCTTTATTTTTCTGATTAAAAAGTTTAATAAAGCTTTAAGTATTTGCTGGCTTAAGTATTACCAATCTAAAAAATATATTTTTAAAAAAATTTCTGTTAACATGAGATTTACAGTGAAAGTTACTAGTGATTTTGAAGGCAAGGTAGTTGGTTCTTATGCCATAAGAAATTTTTCCTTAAATTTGTGAATTAGTAAAGTAGCAGATTGTATTATAGGCCTCAAGTCACTTCAATTTATATAGGTTATTAGCATTATCTTTAAATATACAATATAAACAAAACTGTACATATATGGCATATTAACTTTGTTTTCCAAAACAATAGGCAACTCATTAGCTAAAGACATCATCATACTCTGCAAGAACAAAAGGCACATCTGCGATACATGCCCTTGCCCCTCCCTCATTGGATTACGTAGTCTTTGCTTACATTTTGACAAAATAAACAGTGCATTCTATCATTTTCATTCTATTTTTCAGTTTTGTCTTCAGCAGCAAATACTGGCATTTAAGACATGGCATTAAAGAGTTTAAAAACAGTGGGTGTTATTCACAATTCTTCTAGATGTAAAAACTAGAAGTAAAAACTAGATGTCAAAGAGTTTTTGTTTAAAAATCAGTAACACCATACACCCTCTATACTTGTGTAAATTCATGGCCTTAAAAAGGCATGTATTACTTAAATTTGAAACATTCCACAAAACACTATCCCCTTTCAGTGCAATCACTGTCACTTCAAACCATATTTTTCAGCAGAGTCTACAGTGCAAATATAAATTCGTTATACTGGCCTTATGGCAGCACTGAGGATCCAAGACAAGGGAATGCTACTGATCACCTGAGGATAATGGTAAAGGACTTTTGTATTTTTATTTCTCCAATTCTTAAAAGCTTATTTGATCAGTAGCATTTTTAAGAGCATTCTTTGTAAAAGTACTAAAATACAATGCCTTTTTGAATAAATTAAAAAACTTTACAAATACTATTCCAGTGTCAATGACTACATACGGCTAAGGTCATTGAGGAGTTTCTGCATTTTCTAGCAAAGGCAGTCTGTACAATGGGGGGTGTGAAAGCTCCCGCTTGTACGTCTTTGGTGGCAGTTTTGGTAGATGAGGGCTTGAATTCTGCCGCGGGGGAACAGGGGGAGCTGGGGGATGAACCACACTGTTGGGACTCGAACTGAGCACATAGCATCGACGCGGCACCCTGGGAGAGGGCGTGGTAGGAGTGCTTGGTGAGTTTGGACACGTACTAACATCTCTGTGCAGATGTCCCAGTGGAGGAGGCTGAAGATTGAATGGACAGTTTATAAAGTGTTCTGGAGGCCGAAGGGGAACTGGAGGAGGGGTGTCAGGAAGAGGATCTCTTGGCGGTGGTGGAGGCGGACTGTGAAGAGGCCCATCAAATGCACCAGGAGGAACAGGAACTCTAGGTTTTACCTTTGGGGGAGGAGGCTGTCTTGGCGGAATAGCAGGTGGGTCATCATCAGATTTCATAGTTCCCTTAAAAAAAAGTTAGGTTATATTTCTATTTGCCTGAAAAACTCATAAGGCAATTTTTAAAAGTGAAAACATTCTGTGTCAAGTTAAATCTACAGACTCAAAAAAGATTAATCTGCTTTTCTGCTCTGTTCTCGGGAACCTTTCTGCTCCTCTCTCTCGAGACACCTCCACCCCTCCCATCCAGCCCAAGTTCAGGCCCAGGGAGTGTGTGGGAGAGCTTTTGCGCTCCCCTGTGCCCCTGGGCCAAGGGCAGGGGCACAACAGATTCACTTCAAGGGCTGAAGCAGGAAGGAGCTGAACACAACAGCTAGACCCAAGCCAGGCATAACTGGAAAACTCAAACTTAAAAGATCTGCGTCTGAATTTCATTAGGTGCTAAGGTTATAACTGCACCAAAGCTCTACAACAAAGGTCAGAAGACAGTACTATACAAAATGACAACAAGAAGAAGCAAAATGCAATCTCAGACCCCAAGCCCACCCATAACAAGTGCAGAGGAAACTAGCACAGAACAAATTGGGAATCACACAGCAAAATAGATTAATCTGGTTTAATTGATAAGTAAATTTGTAAATTACCTCCAGTTTTGTTCAGGGCTCAGTATAATATTTGCATGCAGGATATTTTAACTGAAATCTCAGAACATAAAGATTGTTGTCCTGTGTTACTTTGTTTCATGTGTTTCAGAAACTTACAAATTTTAATTGTAATAGGTAAGTGCAAATAATAGTTTATAAACATGAAAGCACATGGACATAGTGCCCAACTTCTGCTTTCCTCAGTAACATGGATAGCAGTGGTTCTCAAAATGTGATCCAGGACCACCAACACGTATAGAAAACTCATTACAAAAGCAAATTATTGAACTCTGTTTCAGATCTACTGAATCAGAAAACCTGGGGGACCTGCCCCTTAGCTCAGTTCTTTAAGTGGCTGCTTCAACAAAACAGTCAGGCTCAGGTTGCTGTGGTTCCATCCCCACAACTCAAGCCAGCCAAACCTGCCCTGAAGGCATTCGGAGCAAAAAAAAAAAAAATCCTAAAATAAAAAAAGAAAAGAAAAGAAAAGAAAAGAAAAGAAAACCTGGAGGTGGGTTCAACAATCTGCCTTTAACAAGCTGTCCAGATTCTCATACACACTTAAATTTGAGAAGACTGGTTGAAAGTTTGAAGAGTCTTCCAAACATTAAAGTTCTTACCAGCTGTACCAGAGAGAATATGTTCTGAGTAACTGTCAATTTGTCTACCTTCTTTTTTTAGGAAAGGTTTTTATGAAAACAAACAACTCCTGAAAATATTTTTCAAAAGTATTGTTAAAAACCAATACACGTTAAAAAATCATGACGGGTGGCCAAAATCTACCTGACAAGTTCTTTATAAAAATGAGCTCTACTTTGAAGATTCACAACTTTAAATAAGTGGAGGCAAACCTAGAGCAGTTGACTACCTTGGAATTTGAAGCATCATGATCAAACTTCTTTCGAGGAGGAAGGGGAGGAGGAACCAGCAGCTCTTCACTTAGTTTATTTAAACTACCGCACGAACTGAAAAAAGACTCTGGGAGAAGGAAAGGCTAGTTTAACCACAATTCACAGTACAATTATAAAACAAAATTTCATTGCAACTTATGCTATGGGACTTGGCAGGCTGTATTATCTGTTACACAGCTCACTGTTGGCTTATCTGTCCTCTATGTAAGACTTATCTATGTTGGTTTATTTATCCTCTATGTTTAACAGTGTGCACTTATTTTTGTATCTGTGGCATAGATCACAGTGCCTGGTAGCTGGTAGGTGTGATAGATAAAGGAATACAACAGTATTTAGTTAAGATTAGGAAGATTCTGCTCCTCCAAAAAGCCTCTGTAAAATCTAAAATAAAACTATGTTTGTATATTATGTACTAAGTAACATCCAGAAAAGATCATGCTAAGCAGAAACCATGTATTTCTGAAGTAACTGAAGCTGCTATAAGCAACACAGGTAATACAACCTCTATAGAAGAGACCAAAACATAAGGCTGTATCATATAACTCTTCAGGTCTCTTAATGATAAAGTACACATATAACCAATGTAAGCAAATTTAAAAAATTATAAAGGTAAAATTACCCTTGGAGAGGTCAACTGTACACAGAGTAAAAATTATTTTCATTTAGATGATTTCATCTTTTTCATATGACTTTTTAAAAATCTGTAATTATGGCCCAACTCCCTATTTGGTATCACAGTTACATGGTTATTGTAAAGGTAGTAATCAAGGCTTCTCTTTCTTCTACTCAGTTTGGGTTCACAGAGTTAAGCTGCTAAAGAAGTTGAAGAATTTAATTTTAATCATGGTAACAACTGTTCATGTAGAGGTCTTTTAGCCAGGTGTGGTGGCAAATGTCTGTAATCCTAGCACTTAGGGGTCGAGAAAAGAGGATCCCAAGTTCTAGGCCAGGCTCTGGGCAGCTTATTAGTAGGCTGAGTAAGCAAAACAAGCAACAATTCATATCCTTGAGCAATTTATATTCTGGTTTTGGGAGAGAATATATAAGTGAAAGTACAATGGCTAAAAATTCTAAGAAATATCAGTAGGAGAAAGGTGTAGAAATAGCTGGGAGGGGAGCAATTTTAAGTAGGGTGATTACAGACCTCATTAAGTTTCCTTCCTCATTAAGCAAATACTGGAAGAAGGAAAGGGAAAAAACCAGTGGGCCAAAGGAATAAAGAACATTGCAGGAAGAAGGAATAACGAGGCAGAAGCCCTGATACAGTAATGTGTCTTGTATTCTGGAGGCAGAGTACCCAGAGCAGGAGACAGAGGCGACAACAGTGGGTGATAATGTCTACCTGATCAAAGAGGCCAAACTATTATGGTCCTGAAAAGGAACTTTTGGCTTTTATTAAGATGGACAGTTTTATGAACAAGTATATCAAGGTCTAACTTACACCCTAAAAGATCATTCTAGCTCTTGTATTAAAAGCATAAAAATAGGGAAAGTAAAAATTAAGATACTAGCATAGTAAACAGACCAAGGTAGCAGAAGTCAAAATGGTAAAAGATGGTTTATTCTGAATATATTTTGAGGGTAATCAAGATTTATTGATGGGTCGTATTTGAGGTATTAGAAAAAGGAGACATGGCATTGTGTCATAATATGTCTAATATTTTTGGTAAGTAACAGGATACTATAAGAATTGAGATGAGGCAGAAGGAGAAACAAATTTGAAGGGGATAAGACTTTAGTCTTGGAGAGATTAAATTTGAGGTTTCTATCAAATACCTAATTAAGACTGTCATACAGGTCATCAGATAATTATGAATCTAGGGATCAGGAGAAAGATTCTAGCTAGAGATACAAACTCGGGAATTATTACCACTTACGTGGTGACAAGTGTGAAGAAAAAAGTCCAGGAATGGATCCTAGGGCCTTCCAGTATGGAAGATGGAATAGTATTATGGGAAGATAAAGAAGAACCCACATGAGAAACCAAGCAGCCTTAGTGAAGTATAAGAACCAAGAGATTAAGATGTATGACATGACCTACATGCATGTGACATTTTCTAAAACATCTGAGGTATTTTCTATAAACAGCACTGTTTTCTTCTTTGCCACTGGATTCTTCCCCTCATGCTTACCAGAGTAGTTTGTATAAACTAAGTGCAGGTTTAGACCAAAGGGGCTTCAGATTTCAGATTTTGCAATATCTGCATATACATAATGAGATATCTTGGGGATAGGACCCAAGTCTAAACACAAAATTCAGCTGTGTATTTCCTATACAGCTTATGCACATAGCCTGGAGATAACTTTATACAATATTTTAAATATATTTTGTATATGAAACAGAAGTTTGTGTATGTTGAACTATCAGAAAGGCGCCACTATCTCAGTCACAAATATAGATAATTTTTGGTTGTTTAGCATTACGGTTTTGATGTAAACTCCCAACGTCTCATGTGCTGAGACGTGGAACTCTCAAAAGACTGGACGATGGGGGCTAAACCACTGTTAGTTTATGGTTGAGTGTGCTGCAGAGGATGGGGTTGGTGCGAAGAGGTGGGTTCCTGGGGTGGAACCCAGAAAGCTGTATTTCTGTCTCTGGTTTCTCCCTTCTCTCTGCTGGCTGAGGTGAGTACCTTTCTTTTCTTTCTTTCTTTCTTTCTTTCTTTCTTTCTTTCTTTCTTTCTTTTTTTCTTGAAATCAGTTATTTTTATTTAAAAAAAAAAAAACAATGGTACAAAATCTCAAAACAAGATTTTAGGAGAGTAACAATGGTTAGTACATTGTGTATTGTTACTGCCAAAGTAGTTTCTCATATTACAAGATATAAGCAAGAAATAATAAGCAAATAACATAGGTACAAACCTCTTTTTTTTTTTTTTTAAGTCAACAGAAAATGGAAATATACTTTTTAAAGTTTCTAATATTAGGAGAAGATACCATACAATGTCTTTTATTTTTATTTTTTTATTTATTTAGTGTGTGTGTGGCCAGCTCAGCCCACCAGGGGGGGGGGCTGGCTGGCCTGTGGTGCTGGGGGATTGAACTGAGGTCTCTGTGCTTTGCTAAGCTTAGCTTGTTCTAAGTAGGTGCTTTAGACCACTGAGCCATCTCACCAGCCCCATACAATGTCTTTTAAAGCGTACCTTTCCTCTACCATAGCCCCCTATTACTCTGCTTCTGCCTTGGAGCCAGCAAACTAAATGCTCTGGAAACTGCATGAAAATAAACCTTTCCTTCAAGTTTCAAGTACTGAGCATTTCTGTCTAATACATTTGGCATCACCATTATTCCTGACTCTAAATTTATAAGCAACCAATAAACTATCATTTTCTTTCATGTATTCACACATCTGTACTTAGGACTAAAAACTATGACATACCATTGGTACTGTGGGGGGCGGGGGGGTGGTTTCAAGGTAACTAAGCACACAAGAGCATTCCCTTGAATACCTAAACCAGATATTAAGCAAACAGTATCTTTAAATTATAGAGCAAAAAGGAAGCAAAACCCCCCCAAAAATCGCAGTGAGAGACTTGCCACTGTGTCCTCTGGCCTGCACTCAGGTCACTTTATTACCTTTGTGGGTGTCCTGGCCTGGGGAACAAGGGCTGCATGGGACAGATGCCTCACAGCTGAAGGGGCAGGAAGGATCTTCCCGCTCAGGGAAATCAAACAACCCATCCAAGCACGTGCACACGTGTGTGTCTGTGTATGTGTGCAGTGACTGTGACTCATCACCTGAGGTAAGATGTGGAACTTTTCACTTGCGGCTGTCATGTCAATACTCAAAAAGTGCTTGATTTTAGAGGATTTCAGAGTTTCAGGATAGGAATGTTCAATGAGTAGAATGAGCAGAAAATTTTCTATTAAGTTGGTAAGAAACATTTCTGTGATTTGATATATCCTATTTTTAAGGAAGGACCGCAAGGTCAGCCAACATTTTGGCCCTAGCCTTTCAAGCTCAGTGAAGACTCAGGACATAGGAGAACCTGTACTGTAACATCATGTAACTCAGTTGTGCCCTAAATCTTCTGATCAAGCAGATTATGGAGCCACAGAAGAATGGATCGATGATGTAGAGTGTGCCTAAGGAGAGTCACATGAAGAGAAAACATTCTCTCAGGCTTTCACAGAAAGCAAATTGGTCAAGCAATGGCTGTGACTCATCCACACAGCCGAGACTGACAAAGGATCTACAAAGTGTGGTACACGGTTAGAGGATAAATCCTGAGGGTACTCGACTGACCTTATCAGATAAAAAAGTTACATTTCTTGTTATATATGTCTTGCTTAATCTTAGTCTTAACCATCCAGCAGAAAAGTATAAAAATTAGGTATATAAAGTAAAGTCATATTAATATGCTGAGTTGTGAAAGGCTCAAGTCAACAACTTCAGTGGATGACCTACTACTATTGTGAACTGCTGGACTGTGTTGGATTTTTTTGCTGAATTAACACACCTATAGTATTTAGATGTCAATGGAATACCCATCTCTGACAGGAGTAAACAAAAAAAAGGAGATACAAAGGAAGGACCGTTTTGTATTTGTATATACAGAATAGTTAGGATATACAGCTACTTTCGCTAATTTAATGAGAAGAAAGACTTGTACTAATAGTGTTTGGACAGGATATCCTGCCTAATTCTTGTATTATGCATAACCACTAAGAAGATAACAATGTACAATGTATTAATTATTGAAACTGTCCTATGAATCAGCTTTGAAACGGTCTCATTGATATTTCTCAATAAAATAAAAAAAGATATATCCCATTTTCAGACTGCTCTCCAAAAGTTTTATTAATATACCAATTTAAAAAAATTTACATGGGATAAGTAATGTACCATTTAACACAGCCTTGATGATACTCAAAATTTTTCTGGTGGAGGGGTAACTTTGTTACACACAAGAGTAAAATGTCCAGTGATTACTATATAATTAAAGTCTCTGAAGTTGGGCACAGGGCATACACCTGCAATCCCAGCTACTTGGGAGGCTGAGGCAGGAAGACTCAATTTGAAGCCAGTGTGGGCAACTGAATCAAAATAGAAAACAAAAATGGCTAGGGTCTGTGTTCAATCCCTAGTAGTGCACAAAAAAAAAAAAAAAAAGGATTTCAGATTGTTATATAAAACATTTATCTATTTTTTATATGTTTCATTTGATATGAACTAGGTATTCATGCCCACTGTTAACAGATTCTTTTACTGTTTTTCATGTTTTACCTGAATATTCCACATATTTATTACAAATATTCCTGGTTCCAAAATGGCACAGTAGTACAGGCTGAGCTACATTCCCTCAAAAGATATGCTGAAATCCTAACTCTGGTACTTGGAATTATAACCTTGTTTTCCTAAGTCCCCAACTATTCAAATGCTAATTTAACCAAGTCATTACTATTTTCATAGTCATTTCATTAGTAAAAGGCGAAAGATTTATACAATCTGAAGAAAAACCAGAGTACAGTCATTTCATTAGAATCAACTCATACTCTACTTACTTGATTGTGGCAAAAGCACTGGAGCAAAGATGCTATTGCTGCCTAGTGGAATGAGAAAAATGATTTATACAGTTAGGGAATGTGTATAATTTTATTCTTTTAATGTTTACATAAACATGGCCACGATTTTATTACCATCTTTTGTCATACTAACTTTTAAAAAAAGAACGTGGCATTGTAACTAAACAGTTCTCCTTTCTTATTACAAGTGGTTCCCCTCCCATCACGTCCCCATCTAGTTTTCCTCACAAACTTACATATTTGCCTATTGTGTCCTTTTGAGTGTTAGTAGAGTCCAAAAGGTATTAAATAAATCTTTGTTAAATAAATTAGAAATATGCATAAACAATGCACAAATACTCCTTTATTCCCATGTAAACTGCTATTTCTACATTTAGATGTCACTTTTAACACTATTAGAAGGGCCGGGGAGATGGCTCAGTAGGATAAGCGCTTGACTGACAAATGCAAGGATCTGAGTTCAATCCCCGGTTCCGCAAAAAA